TATATATATATATATATATATATATATTATGCTAATTATGCTTCTATTTATGCTGATAATGATGCTGTTTATAAGACTGAGTTTGTTGTGGCTCCTCGGACTGCTGTAGTCTTTTGGATGAAAGATGAAACGTTTCAACAAAAATAATACGGTCCAGAGGACCTGACTGAACTTTGTTGGATTTTTCTACCTGGATTATTGAGCAGCATCAGGACAATTTTGTGTTTTTATTTAAAGACCTGAGTTTGGACAAACTGCTTTTATTTTGACTGAACTGACAAGCTAACAGCTTGTCAGAGCGAGGCCAAGACTGCAGAATGAAAAAAGCTTTTTAACAGTTTGTGTGAAATTGTTTATAGTGCTACTTTTAATCTTGGTTTTGCTTGTACTAGATGTTAGCTCATCAGTCAGATTTTACTATTTCTTTAAACTAAGGTCATTCAAAGAGCTTTCTACAACAAGTAAGACATTAATTGTTCATAACCTGTCCATCCATGTCCGTATGCTCTTTGTGGACGCCACATCTGCCTTCAACACATCATGATCCCCCAAATCCTGATGGACAAACTATTCACACTAGGACTAAGCCCCTCTATTTGCAACTGCGTACTAGACTTCTTAACACACAGACCACAGTCAGTGAGGATCCACAACTTCTCCTCCTCCACCATAACCCTCAGCTTTGGCTCTCCTCAGGGATGTGTGTTGAGCCCCCTCCTGCTCACTCTGCTCACATATAATTGTGCAGCTACCCATCCAGGTTGTCACATTGTAAAGTTTGCAGATGATACAGCGGTGGCGGGATGCATCACAAACAATGATGAGTCCAGCTACAGGCAAGAGGTGGAACACCTGGAGAGCTGGTGCAAAGAGAATAACCTTCACATCAATGTGAAGAAGATGAAAGAGATGATTGTGGACTTCAGAAGGAACAAACACATCTACACCCCCAACCCCCCAAAAAACAAAACATAGGATCTGCAGTGGAAGTGGTCTCTAGCTACAATTAAATGGGCTGTACTTATATATCGCCTTTCTATCTTATCGAGATACTCAAAGCACTTTACAACAATCTGTGTCCTCATTTACCCATTCATACAGCACTCTACTAGATCTCTACAAAGATAATTGAACAAATCATTCTAAAGAGAATAATCAGAGCTTTATCACATTCATGCACCGATGGGACACACATCAGAGGCTATGAGGGGTTCAGTGTCTTGCCCTGAGACACTTCGGCATGTGACTGCTGGTGGATTCGAACCCCCAACTCTTGCATTGGAGGACGACTGCTCTAACCACGCAGCCACAGCCGCCTCTGTAAGTACAAGTACTTGGGTGTACACATGAATGACAACCTCAGCTGGAGCAACAACACTTCCAGCCTGATGAAGAAAGCTCATCAGAGACTCTACTTCCTCAGGCGGCTGAGGCGAGCTGGTCTGGGAAGCTCAGTCCTCACCTCCTCCTACAGGTGTGCAGTGGAGAGCATCCTGTGCTCGAGCATCAACGTATGGCATGGAGGCTGCACAGCTGCAGAAAGAAAAGCTTTGCAGAGAGTGGTGAAGGCTGCACAGAAATCTGTTGGAATCAGTCTCCCCACCATCACAGACATCTACACCTCCAGATGCAGGAAAAGGGCCACCTGCATCATGAAGGACCCCACTCACCCAGCACACACTTTTTGCACCGCTCCCCTCAGGAAGGAGGTTGAGGAGCATTAAGTGTAGAACCACTAGACTGAGGAACAGCTTCTACCCTGAAGCTGTTAGACTCATGAATCTAACAGAATAATCACAGTGAAGACACTTTAATTGGCCATAGGTGACTTATCTGTGCTGCTGATCTCATGCTGCTGATCTCATGCTGCTGTATTCATAACCATCTGCTCACTGAACTCATGTTCAGGCTGCTGTTTAATACACTGTATTATTTTACATTGTTAGTATTTAGCGTATATCTTAGATCCTTAAATACTGTTTCTTTTTATACTTTTACTTTATATCGTTGCTATTTTTGGGTGTAACTGGGACCTTGAGTACACAGTTTTGTTCCACCTCATGTACCACATGATGTTAATGACAATGAAGATTCTTGACCTGTAGACCCCCACTTCAAAAGATGAGAACTATTCAATTCAATTCAGTTTATTTATAAAGCACCAGTTCACAACAAAGTTGTTCACATACATAGAAAAGTCAGTGAATAAAGTTTTCTAAGGAACTAAGTATCTTTTAGTTCAGACACTTCATGATATTGCCATCTCATTTTCTAATCTCTGTTTGTACAGACTAAAGATAATCTCAACCCCAGTCCTAATCCGAGCCTCAGCCCGGCCTCTTGGAGACGGCAGCCTCCCAGCAGCGAACCACAACACATGGGGAGCTCTTATGACCGGCTGCCCAAGACAGCAGGAGCCTCCAGAGGTGGAGATCTGTGGTCCGGTCGAGGTCAAGGGACTGGAACCAGAGCTGAGGGGAGGAGCGGAGCGGGAAGCCGACCGTGGGGCTACCGCCAATCTGAGCATCGTTAGACGAGATGCAGCATAACCAGAAACAGGTAGCAGAAAATGTCCTCTCTTATTTATTTATTGGACCATATGTTAATTACATTTGTTGCTATCAAATAAAGTAAATTCCATTGTTCTATTAGTTTTTTCATAAAAGAAACAAAGTTTTTGTCTCTTCTACCGTGCTGTTCACAGACTAAAAGAATTCCACATTATTTCTGCAACTCATTTACTAAGAATATTACTGGAAACAGTTCACTCCGGTTATTTTCCCCATAATTAGCAGCAAATTTCCTCGTTCCTTCAAGGAACAATGAAGCAGTTATAGACTCCGCTCCTCAAGAAGATGAATCGATAGGATTGTTTTTTTTTAATCTGGAGCAGTAAGTAAGAATTGTTCTTGTTTTCTCCTCAGCAGCACTCTGTTCATCTCAACAACACACGCCGAGCCAAACATCAGTCCTCCATCAACTAAAGGCGACGTTAGAAAACCTCCATGTGCAGCCTTTGTCCAACAAATAAAGAAACTAATAAAATTTGGAGTCACAAAGAACAACAAACCACTAACTCCACTCTGAATGTGAGCGTGGAGAGCCTGAGCCTCTGGCGGAGGTCACCCCCCCCATCCCACGCTTCCTCTTCTGCTTCCAGCTGGATGTAACCCCGAACCCTGACAAGGGAGAGGCAGGCATGCTGGGAGGACTGGGGCTTCTCCTGCATGCCAGAGGTTTTAAAGAGTTAGAGCGGAGGACTCATGAGGGTTGGGATGATTTTGTTTTTGTCCAGAGAAACCTTACGATAACCTCAGTGGGTGGATTCAGAGCTTCAAGGTCCGAGACAACAGTGTTTCCGTCATTCATCTGTGCTTCATAAAGTTGGTTCAAAACACACCTTTACTTTAAGTGTGACCAAAACAGGAAGTGAATTCTCCTGTTTTGTGTCTTGTACTCTTGGTGTTACTGTAGTTTCTAAAGATCATTTCTCTGTCACAAACACAGATCATGAAAACAAACCGCGAGCACACGCTGGTTTCAGCTGCGTGTTGTTTTGGACCCGTGCTGCTTCTTTCTGCTCTGCTGGGACCTCAGACGTGAAGCTGATTATGGCTCGGACATGATGAGCCAATGTTTGCATGTTCCTAAAAAAAAAAAAAAAAAAAAGCACTTGAAAGGCTGTGACTCAGCAACACACTCAGTTTAAGAACAAAAAAAAAAGTCCACATTGTGAGAGCACACACATCTACGACGGAGCTTTAGGGCCACGCGAAGAAAAACAAATTAAAAGTCTTATTATTACGAGAATAAAGTTGTACGGGACTTTTTTTTTTCCAGCTCTAGTTTATTTATTTATTTTCCACGAGTCAGATCCATGACGTGACCTGTCAATCAATCCAGTAGGCATGTCAGCAAATGACCAATCCAAAGCTAAATGCTCTTTACCTGCAGAGCTGCTGCTGCAGCCCATCAGAGTGTACCACCTTACTGTAAATCCTGATACTGATAATAATCTGATGTGCTACAGATTAACTATCTTTATTTGTAAAACCAATACCAAAGTATAACTTAACAAGATGCTCAACATTCTTCATGTTACCACAGTTAAAATGCAGTAAACAGCTGCTTTATCGTGTCGAGTTCAGATAATATGACGACTCATTTAGCTTCGGATTATCATTTGCTGACACGCCTGGATCCTGGATCTGACTCGTGGAAAAAATAAAATAAATAAACAAGTGCTGAAAAAAAAAAAAAAAGTCTTGTACAACTTTATTCTCATAATTTTATGGGGTTTTTTGTTGTTGTTTTTTTTAGCGTGGCCCTAAAGCTCCATCGTGCACATCAACTCTGAACTGGGACCTTTATTTGCTTTGTTTGAATTTACTCTAACTTCCTGTTCTGGATCATCTTTTCCTGTTTCTTCTCTGTGCAATAAAAAGCAACGCACATGGAGGAAGGAGCAGGAGGCGGTTGTTTTCAGCCTCCGACCATGAGACCAGTTTACCAGCAGTTGCGACTGGACAGAGTGGATTTCCTCTCACAGCTCTGTAAACCAGTCAGAGATCTGCAGGCTGATAAAGCTTGTGTATGACTGGACTTGTTGTGGGAATCAGCTCGAACTCTTTGCACCACTTGTTAAATTTCTTTAGAGGAGACTTCACAGATTTATCCACAGGCCAGTGATGATGTGCATGTTTGAGGGATACGGTGCACGTCAGTGACACAAACCTTGCAGATTGTTGTTTTGTCCTTTTTGTTTGTTTGTTTCAGGAAACTTGTTTAATTTTTTACCTGCTCCGTAAACGAGACTCCAAACTACCAGGACATGTAAAAACCTACGTCCAAAAACAGTCTGAATGTTTTAAGACGTGTAACATGACGAGCTGTTGAACAGCTGATTTTCTGGTTTCAACAACTTCCTGTTGGGTCCTGAATCATGTATGTTGTTGCTTTCTACCTTTAACGTCGGTTCAACGCCTGTTGGAGCTCGACCTGCTGCCTTCTGTCTTTCCAGCTCATGCAGGATTTATAAACTGTGCTGGGCGTCGTGATGGAGGCGCACGTCTGGAATAACAAGAATGTTTAGACGCACTTTTCTGCTCGTGTGTATTTAAATGATAAAGCTTTGCTGCAACATTACGCTCGTTCGTGCCTTGAACGCATCACTCCATGATGTGGACAGCGCTGCACCAGTGACATTTATCTTGTTCATTTGCAAAAAGAACTTTTGTCATGACAGAAAAAACTCCTACAAGGATTTCAAAACAAAGTTCACTGAGATTGTTTTTTTTTTTACTACACAACTTTTAAAAATAAGCTGCCTTGTGGATTTGGACGGTCGGTCACGGAGTGCAGGGAGGACGTGGCCTCTTCGTGGCTGGCTTCAGAACAGAGCAGCTCTCGCTCCGTCCACGCTCCGCTCTGTTTGTGAACCATCTCGCTTCCAGTCTCTTGTCCCTTTCAACCAGTTCCAACTTTATTTGAGCTCTTTTTCAAACCCAGCTGTCTTTTCTCCGACTCCGTTCTCCTCTCCTCCCAGAAGCCGAGCTCCAGACGAAACGTGACGGTGGAGCAGAGGTTGTGTCGTTGGGGGCCTGTCACCAGACCCTGACGGGCAGCTGAAAGTTCAGGGGTCAGGGCTGCGTCTAATCCTGTCCTGCAGCTTCACTCAGGGCTTCTAAAAGTGGACCGGAGGACTTTCAGCTCGGACGAGTCTCCTCTGAGGATCGAGTGTCCGGCTCCGGCTGTGGTTGTGTCGCCAGACGTGCACGTGCAGTGCTGTCACTGTGTCAGGAAGGGTTCTTGTTGAAGGCTCAGCGTAGTGAGTAGGTCCTCTGAGGAAAATGACGTGCACATGGGGGGGCTGTCGTCACGTGGGCAGGATGAAGCAACACGATGATGCAAACCTCCCAAAAGCACATCACCTGTTTCCTTCCATCAACCTGACCTGAAGTCTTGTTCCTCTCCTCCACCCTTCAACTCTAAGTTTTTCTCCACGAACAGTTGGGGGAGTGGGGGGGGGTCTCAAGAAGAGCAGCTGGTGTCACGCACCCATGTTGTTGGAGACGTTGGACAAAAACCAGTTATATCAGGGAAAAATGGTGTTTTATACACGAGACATTGTTTCCAGGTGAAGACGAGCGTTGGGACAGAAATGCCCCCCCCCCCCCCCCCCAGCAGGTGTCAACCTTCACTTAACCAGCACTTAACTTTAAGACCTCACAACTTTGTTTGTATTAATATAAATGAGTGTTCCCGCCTGCAGAGTTCGTTTAGCTGCGTATAAAAAGTATCTGACGTCGGCGTCGCGCCTTCACGCATCGTGCCAAAATCATTCCCCAGTATTCCCAGTTTACAGCCAGAGGCCGCTTGTATTCATGCTGAAATAAAGATGTTCACTTTGAGGGCGTAGCTTTTTTTCTGCTCCGTATGTTTTGTTTGTTAAACAAAATGTGTATTTTTGAATCGATATCAGACTTTATTTAAGTGAAACGTGTAATTTTGTAAAGTGGGCCTCGTTATTGAAATGTATTAAATACTTGCCTTGACTTTAAGATTCTTCAGGGTAATCATTGCTCTGACACTCCTGGAGAGTTCTTCTTGTGTTTGTGTCCATCATGAGACATTTGATCCTCCTCAAGTCCCTGTTTTCTTTTTTGAAGGGGGTTCATTCTCCAGCCTTGTTGCTGCTCTCATAAATTCAGGTTGTTTTGTATGTTTGCCAAAGAAAGATGCCTGCAGCCCCCCCAACACACACACACACGTGTATATATGTAAAAGACAAATGATTCTAAATGAAAAAACTGGTTTGGTCGGACCTCTGCTCGTTTTGTTTCGGTTATCGAACAGCTCTTGGTTGATGTGAAACAAAACACGTGTCAAACACATAAAGATGTATGACTCATGTCAGTGAAGCCAGGTGGACTGAGTAAAGACCATTTTCTCTGAAATGTTCCATTTAATACAACGTGCATGTTTGAACCTTACTGTGGCGCACTCTGCATGTAGGCCTCTTAAAGCTGTACAGCAGACCATATGTACTCAATAAAAATAAAACGCGACCTGTTTGTAACACGTGTGCCTGCGTGAGTGTTGGTTTCTACGTGTTTGAAGAGGGAGACAGCAGCTGACAACATGCAAAATAAGCAAGTGGACAAATGAGGCAAATTGGTTGAAGGAGGAGAGAAACCACAAGCTGCTGAGGAATGCAACGTCAGCACGTCTTCCTGCTCGACGGCTGCACCTCGCTTTGAGAGAGCCAGCGTTGCTTTTTCCTCAACGTGTAAATGAAACCAGCTCCAGAGTCCGACTGCAACTCGTTTTGCTGTGACCATCAGTTACTGGGCCTGTTTGCTGGTTTTACGTCGACTCCAGCTCCTCTGCCTGGTGTTGAGCAAACTGTTGAGGACGAGTCTGGACGTGCTCGATTCAGCTGCCTGGGTCTGAACACATCATCCAGCTCACAGAGCAACTTTAGAGGAACTATGAATGACCACCAACAGATGTGTTGGTGCATTTAACTTGTGAAACGTGTTAAAGTGTTTGCATTAGAAGTTCCTAACTTGTAATGTGTACGTAAAATCTTCCAAAAAACAAGGTCCAGTTAAAGTTCAGTGTATTTTATATATCACCAAGTCACAACAAAGTTGTCTCAGGACACTGAACAGAAACACTCAAATAATTAGAATATCATGGAAAAGTTGTTTAACTTCCATAATTCCATTCAAAAAGTTAATCTTTAATAGATGATAGATTCAGGGCCCAGAATTTAAACAATTTCAAGTATTTATTTGGTTATTTTTACATAATTTGGACTTCCAGCTCATGAAACCCACGAAAACAGAATTTCAAAAATTAGAACACTGTGGAGAAATCAGCCCAAATGTTGCAGGTCATGAATGTTTTAAACTGAGTGTGACACTAATCATCTGCTAAACTCAAAGCACCTGCACAGGTTTCCCCAGGTGTCATTAAATTGCTTCAGTTTGGTTCAATATGGAGAAGACTGCAGACATAACTGACCAGAAGACCAGAGACCTGACCTTCCATAGGATGGGTACGTCACAAAAGTTCATAGCTAAGGAGGCTGGCTGTTCACAGAGTGCTGTGTCCAAACATATCAATGGAAAGTCTAGTGGAAGGGCAAAATGTGGCAGGAGAAGATGCACCAGCAACAGAGATGACTGTGGGCTTCAGTGGATTATCAAACAGAGAAGATTCTAGAATCTGGCAGAGATCCAGAAAGAGTGGAATGAGGCGGGAGTCACAGCTTCAAAAACCACCACATTCAGACACATCTGGGAGATGGACTACAACTGTCGTGTTCCTCGGTCCTCTTTTCAGATGAAAGTAAAGTGTCTTTCATTCGGAAATCAAGGTCCAAGGTTTGGAGGAAGAAGAGTGAGGAACAGAACCCATACTGCTTCAGGTCCAGTGTGAAATATCCACAGTCAGTCATGATGTGGGGTGCAATGTCTGGTACAGGTGTTGGTAAACTCTGCTTTCTTAAATCCAAGGTCACCACAACAGTCTACCAGAATGTTTTAGAGGACTTCATGATTCATTCTGCTGAGGATCTGTATGGAGATGTAGATTTCATCTTCCAGCAGGACCTGGTCCCTGCCCTTAAATCTCTGCTTCGATGTGACGTGGCATTGAGGCAATCAGCCAGTGGCATTGACTGGGAGTTATGGAAGCCCAGATTTCCTTGATGCTTGCTGTCAGCTCTTCTTTGTTATTGGATCTGGTGTTTGAGACTCTTTTAGCACCATACTGGTGTCCCTCATGTTCCTCTTGAGAATACCCCATAGATTGTCAATGGGCTTTAGGTCCGGCCAGATGGCTGGCCAGTCAAGCACTGTGACATGGGCATCAAACCAGGTTTTGGTGCTTCTGGCAGCATGGTAAAGGGATTCACAACCAAGTATTGAAGATTGACATATCGTTTTGAAAGTACCATATTTTGATTTGTTATGATCCTAATTTTTTTTTTTTTTTTTTTCTGCAAAACTGAGCAGTGTGGACTGATGTCTTCACAGTATTCTAATTTTTTGAAATCCTGTTTTCTTTGGTTTCATAAGCTGGAAGTCCAAATGATGTAAAAAAAATAAAATAAATAAATAAACTAATAAATACTTGAAATTGTTTCAATTGTGGGCCCTGAATCTATCATCTATTAAAGATTAACTTTTTGAATGGAATTATGGAAGTTAAACTACGTTTCCATGATATTAAAAATTATTGTAAAGGGTCTGTGTATAAAAAAAAAAAAATTTAGTAAAGTTTTCTATCTAAAGAAGCCAGCAGACTTGTTGAATCTTCACTTTGTCACAGTCTCCCATTCTGAGCAAGTACAATGGAGACGGTGGAAAAGAAAAACTCCTTTTGAACAGAAGGCAACCTCCAGCAGAACCAGGATCAGGACAAACGACCATGTGCTTCAACCAGCTGGTCTGAGAGGACAGGAAGGAGAGACAAATGGAGAATGTGTCCCCCACCTCACACAGCGACTGCTGGACTTGGGCACCAGTGACCCATGTGACCTGAAAAGGCAGAAGCAGGTAAAGCATTTCTGTGGATGCGATTTTATAAAGGAATTAAGCAGCAACAACTATAATTTATGCAAATATAGTGTAGAATAAAAAATATCTTGAGCATGAGCAGACAATGTGAAAATGTATCCAAACAACTGAAACATTAAGAATATAAAAATATTTCTAATTTTCAGCAGAAATTAAAAGTAAATGATTATATTAATAAAGTGTTATTATTATAAGGCTGCTGTGGATTTCAAATGGTCGAGTCAGAGCAGCTCCTGGTTGGTTCCTGCTTCAGGCGCAGAGACGGCCATGACCCGATCCTGATGTCTGACCTGAGCTAAAGCTGCGAAGTCGAGCACGAGGACTCGGATCATTTCCAGCTGAACACAGGACAAAAACAGGAGAGAACATTTGACCATGTGGCTTAAAACTGAGAATTAGAAGTCAAATAAAAATAAATCTGAACTCAAGCTGCTTTATAGGTCGTGTAATTCAGAGAACAAGGACTTTTCATTAAATGTTGATAAATCCAAAGACTGTAGCAAAGTTCTGCTAAAGTGTTTGGGCATAAACAGGACGTGCTGGAGGGAAAACTCACGTGTGGAAAACGTCCGTCAGTCTGGACCAGGGCTCTGCAGCCTTTACGTTCAAGAGACATTTCTGTCCCTCGTTCACTAAATTAAACGTGTCCAGAGCTGCAAAACCTGCTACTGTTATTTTCAACTGGTGGCCCATGGGCCACTTTAAGTTTGTTAGAGGGGGCTTTTCTGGCAAGTAGGTGTGAAATTATAAAACTAAAAACATCCAATAATACTTAATATTTGATATTTTTACATTTTGAGACAAAAGAAAAGACTGGAATCCTTCCATCATCTTTTTCCATTTATTCCTGGTGCCCATATCCAGGTAGCAAGTCTGTCACTGAATTCTTGTAAAGAAAAAAAATATATTTTGCCAATTTAAAAAAAAACTAAAACATTGAACTGTGCAGGCTTATGTTAATTGTGGAGAAACTGTGTATGCTACTTTGAATAAATAAAGCATAAAGGGAGTACAATTTACTGTGTATTAGTACTAGTGTCCACATATTTACAAATGAAATGACAGGAAAACTGGTAAAACTAGTCATTTTTTGTTGTGGGTACAGTACATCATCCTATAAAATTCAGTTTGATGTTAGTTTTAATCAAAACTTGAAAGATCCAGAGCCGCAAGTTGCAGACCCCTGGTCTGGACCAACACAATCCAGAGGACCTGACTTCACCTTCTTAGATTTTTTTTTTACCTGCATCAGGGCTTCAAGTAGAGATCTCATCTTTGATTATAGATTATTACTGGTATTATAATCTGATTACAGATTATTGTGGAGAATAACAGTGATAACGTTGAATGAATCCAAGTACTGCAGAGTCCAACTTCAGCCTGACGCTCCAGAGTGCATGAAAGCAGCACAGAACCTGAAGGCAGCACCGCAGAAAAGCTCATGGTTAACCAGTTTAACCCCCCCAAACACACCAGATCTCCCACTACGCAGACATGCTGCCAGAGACCCTCGTCTTTGCTTCTCAGTTACACCACAGGCTCTCAGCAGCAGCCAGACCTGCATCAGAGGGGTGGAGGGGCACTGGGGGGCCGAGTGCATCCACAAAAACACATTTCCGTAACAAAATGTCTCTTACCCCCCAAGTTTACCAGAAATGACTGCACAATGTTATGTTGTTCTTTTATTAACAAAACCATTTGACAATATTAAAAAAAGGTCTCGACAACTAAAACAAAACAAAGTTGCCATGGCAACAAAAACATTCCTTTAATAGCAGCTTTTTTACTTTAATTACAAACGTTCACACTAGACTAAACTGCCTACATGAAGTTCAACTTAAAGGAGCTGCAGAGGAGTCAGAGGAGAGTTTCTGTGGAGTGGGCATGAGACGGACGTCATTGATGAAATCCACTTTTCAGTTCGGTGTTTTGTTGACGGGAAACATTTCAGCCGTTCCTCAATCTTTATCAAAGAGCACGATTTGCTCTGAACGTGAAGAGCGTTCAAGCTCAAAGACGTCAGGTCTTTCATAATTCCATGCTTTGTAATAAAAACAAAACTTCATTTGGATTTTTTCCACAACAGTTAAATAAACCATGTTCAGTGGAAGACCAGAGTTTGTGGCAGCTGGGCTGTGAATGAGAAGCTCCGGTGAAGAAGAAGAAGAAGGAGAAAGTCTCCGTGTCATCACGAGTCTGTACAAAGTTCTGTCACGTTTCACGAGCCCCCAGTTTCTGGGTGAACCCCGTCACTGCGTCAGAAGATGGACGGTTTCACACGGTGGCAGTGGGCGGGGCTTGCTGAGGGTTGCTCGTGGCTGTGGGGGTTGCTTGTCTCGGCAATGTGTACATGGCCCCCAGGAACTGATCGGCGATGCGCCCGGCCTCTCGGAGCCCGCTGAGCAGGGCGCCGTGAACTGTAGCCGGGTAATTCCTGATGGTGTGCTCGCCGGCGAAGAACAGACGAGGAACAGGCTGAGGAGAAAACAAACAACACTTAACTTTTATATTCCAACATAATGTGGATTAAGTGTGTGTGTGTGTGTGTGGGGGGGGGGGGGGGGCATTAGTGGGGGTGTCAGAAACTTCAGTTCACACATTTGGTTCTTGTAATCTACATGGCAGCATCAAAACATCTGCACTGGTTTTAAACTGCACCTCTTTGATTCAGTTAAAAACTGGGGGAAGCTGGAATACCACATCTGCCCTCACGCATGTTCTCATCCAGATGTGTTGCAGGAAGGATTCCTTGTTTCTGTGCTCACCTGTGACGCTCCAGGTATCGCCGGGCCGGGCGTGATGGGCTGAGCCATCAGGTCGTAGTCGTTACCTGAAGAACCTGCCGCCACGTACGAGTAGGAGCCCCTCGCCCAGGGGTCAGCACGCCAGCGAGTGACCACAGTTTCCTTCGGCTGCCATGACAACAGACACAACATATACTTTAGGGGTTTCCATGACGACATTAGAGGGACTCGCACACATCTGGATGGTGAACAGCTCCAACGCTGGCCAGGACTGTTTGAAACCAAAAGCAAAAAATGACTTGTAATGACGGTGGTTTGGATGAAGCTGCTCGTGTCGCTGTTTCTGTTCAAATGCTCGGTGCTGAGTTCAGGAATAAATTCCACGTGAAGTGCAATAAAATAACCAGGAAAACTTTGACAGATTACATAACTGCATGCAGGATGAAACAGAAATGGTAAATTATAACTCAATTACATTAGTCAATGTGAAAATAAATGTTTTCTAGGACATAAGAACTAAGTGAATGGGTGTAAACTACCTGGGGCACAGCGCTGCTTCCAAATATGCCCTTCAGTATTGCCAGGCAGCGTCCAACGATGACATCATCACTGATGTTCTCCATGATGCCTGCAGCCTCGCCAGCCATCAGAGCGAGCAGGATCGGTGCTAAAATACCACAGAATTTATTTTTACACAAAAAAAGTGTGTTTCTGTACACCCTGAATTCCAAACATTTTGAGGTTTTGCATAAAATTTAAATAAAAACAGAATGCAATGAGTTTTCCATATTGTAAACTCACATCTAATTAAGTTATACATAATAAACGTCAAATGTTTAAAGAATATTACAAATGGTTGGATGGGTGTACCGTATTTTTCGATGTATAAGTGAAAGTTTTTATCATAAATTAGCATGCCTGCAACTTATACAGCAAAGCAACACATTTATCAGAGTCAGAGTTTCTTTACTGTCATTCCACCAGATGTGGTACATGTGGTGGAACAAGATTGTGTACACAGGGTTCCAGTTACATCCCACAATAAAATGTAAAAAAAAAAAAAACAGTAATACAATCTAAGATATGAAGATATTACGATCTAATAAGATCTAAAATATTTGTTTTTTCCCATATTTATAACCCAATTTTTGCCTGAGATCTGACATGGAAAATATTGAACTACCATTTTCAGCCACTAGAGGGCCCTCGACTGATATGGCAAGCCAAGTGTCTCATTAATAGGTAAAAGTGGCCATTAATGAGAAACTTGACTTGCCATACCAAGCCACCTTCATCTCGCTCCAGAACTCCTGGAGCAAACGTCAAATCAGCTGCATTTCACCGCGCTGCCCAGGTGAAATGCAGCTGATTTGACCAATGAAGTGCATTTATTAAGTAAATGGTAAATGGACTGTACTTGTATAGAACCTTTCTATCTTATCGAGATACTCAAAGCACTTTACACTACAATCTGTGCCTCATTTACCCAATCATACAGCACTCTACTAGATCTCTACAAAGCTAATTGACCAAATCATTCTAAAGAGCTTTATCACATTCAAACACCGATGGGACACACATCAGAGGCTATGAGGGGTTCAGTGTCTTGCCCAGGGACACTTCGTCATGTGGCTGCTGGTGGATTCAAACCCCCAACTCTTGCATTGGAGGACGACTGCTCTAACCACTCAGCCACAGCCGCCCCCCCCAAGGACAAGTTAAACTGAGACACAGCTTTGTTATAATTTTGAACAAACAAATAATTGTTTTTAAGTGTTAATCTTGTTCAATTCTTGTTAAAGTCCTCCCGTGCACACTTCCGCGGCCTCCATTTGGCAGCCAATCGATTTTTGGCACAACTAAGGCCCACATTTCTGGGTTCGACCCACATTTCCAGGTTGTCAGCGGTGATGCATAAGACATGTGACTTATACGACGAAGCAACGCATTTATGGATTTTTCCACTCGATTAGACAAATTTGGTCTGATGAGACTTGTAGGACGATGTGACGTATAGGCAGCACGTACGGTACATGCTTTTCTAAAATCTGTAGGTACTTTTCTGTGTTGTTGGTGCCTTTCCAAATGTGAAAGCTGCTCATGCTATATACACTAATGCACCCCCATAGCATCAGAGAGGCAGAGTTTTGAACTGTATGCTGATAACGGGCCAAATGGTCCCACTCTCCTTTAGTACGGAGGATGCAACATGTGTGCTTTCCAAAAAGAAAGTCAGATTTAGATTCTTCTGAGCACAGAGCAGAACTTTGCGTCAGTCCATTTCAAACCAGCTGTGGACCAGAGAGGACAGCAGCGTTTCTAGATGGTGTTCACACATGGCTCCTTGTTTGCCTGATAGAGCTTCATGGAGCATTGCAGGGTTGAAGATAGACCATGTAAACACCACTGAGGTTTCAAGTGCATCAGATCGGTGAGACGAGTCAGCCCAACACTTCTCCAGCTGTTTCTCCTTCGTATCAATCATTTTTACAGATGTGCTGCTGCCACAAAATAAAGAATGACCTTTTTCCTCCCCTCAGACAGGCACAATGTTATAATCTAAATATCTGACATCATTATGAACATGGGTTTCTGATAGCATTCGGTTTTATTTCCATTTTATACAACCTCCCACCTTTTACAGGATTGGGTTGTATTTGAGACATTAGCACCTGAACTAAATGATGATCAAAACAAACGTTTACACCGGGAGGTGTGTGATCTCATCACCTTTATAAAGGTTCCAGAAGAGAAAGAGTTCGCCCCGGCTGGCGGTGGTGGAACCGACATGACCAAACAAATTCACACTTGGATCCCAGAACACACGGTCAAAACACAAAACCACCTGCAAGCAGAGGAGAAAAAGGAGTTTAAGAAGTCACTCAATCAAAATGCTTCAATGCAAAACTCAGATGATCATTTCAAGGGCACAGACTTCCTGAGTGGTTGGGAAGAGAACAGCGGAGCTCCCTCTGCTGCACAGACAGCAGCTGCTCAGGTTGCATAATAATGCAGCATTCTCCTGTGTGCTGCTGCAGCGTCAGACCAGCGGTCCTGCTGCAGATGATGCTGAGCAGCACACAGCGGGGGGGTCAGGAGTGACGCAGGAAGACTTAACGTGACTATTCTCACAGGCTCCAAGTGACTGCATGAAGCAGAACGACAGACTGGTCTGAGCGTGAAGACGAGTTCTTCATGTGGTTTTATTGTAGCGCAGAGATTAATGGACAAAAAGCTCTTAACACGAGTGTGACTTGGATATCAGGTCTCTCTTGTAAATGAGTCCCCGAGCCTCAGTGGGACTAACCTGTATAAATAAAGGTTGAATGAATGGATCTCTGTAAGCAGGAAGTAGAAAAACCTCAAAAAGGCCTATTAAATTCTAGGTGATTAACATGAAGGTCAAGCTTGTAGGATGAAGACACTGCAGCAGAAACAGCAACAAAATCAAATCACTCCAACTTTAAACCTTTTGATGTTTCATCTAAAAATGAGACAAACGTGTGGTTACATGCAGTTCAGGGCTTCACAAAGGTTCAAACAAAGAGGAACAGCTGATGAAACATGTTCTGGATCATGCACCTTGTTGAGGTTGCCAAAGCCCATCCTCTGTATGGCTGACGTCTTCCACTCAGGCAGCGGGGGGACAAACTGGACGGCTGGTGGCTGCTGCTTCAACACACCAAGGGGCAGCGTGCAGAGGACAGCGTCGCACTTGTAGATGAAGGTCTGAGTTGTGGAGCGAGTGTTCACTGCGATCACCTCACAGCCTGGAAGAACACCGAACCTTCAGCATGACCACGGCTCTTCTCTTTCAGCTCCACTTGTCTGAATGACTTGTTGTAAAAACAAACGTACCGGACGCCGTGTAGCGGACCTGTCGCACCGCTGTGTTCAGTTTGATGTCCAAACCCTCAGCCAGCGCCACAGGGACGCACGAGTACCCGTTCCGTACCGTCAGGTGGCTGCCGGTGAACTCGAAGTCATCATCCTGTGGAACAACAAACATCTCATGCCTGGGACGTTCTCACAGGTCCTCCTGACTCCCAGTTCAAACCGAGGACGTGTTTGTACCTGATCCCAGTGCTTCAGAGACAGGGTGGAGAGGGGCGTGGCGTTCGCAAACTCTAAGTTGGCGAAGTGCCAGTCTAGAATCTGCCGATCTCTGGATGAAAGGTAAACATCACTGTGGAAAAGAAGGAAACAGCGTTCACTGCACAGAGGAGACTAGTTCATACGTTAACACAACTACATGCTGCTGCGCTCATCTAACAGCAAACGTGAACAAATTAGTTTAGTGGCTCCCAACCATGGTCCCTGAGGAACACCATCCTGCATGTTTTAGTTGTTTCTCTGCTCCAACACACCTGACTCAGTGATTTAACTACCATAATTGCCGGTGTATAAGCCGCTACTTTTTTCTCTCAATTTGTACCTTGTGGTTTATATGCAGGAGCAGCCAATTTATATTTTTTCTTTTCATAATCTTCACATTTTATATTTTTATAATTTATTTTGAAAGACTTCCTGTCATCTCTCTGCCGCTGACTAACATTTTCCTTTGACGGAGCTGGGCTGCTGCTCACAGGGCTGCCCTGTGCCCACCCTTTTGTTTCACAGCGTGAATGCCTCAGGTGTCCACATGTACAAAGACTCACTCAGGGTTTCAAATCCCCAACCATAACTCCACCCACTTTGTCATCATGTGACCAGAACTCTAACCTGAATGACCAACGAGGTACTCTCGAGGACCAACCCCCAAGATAAACGTGCATTAATTTCTTCAGATCGTTCCTGTATCGTTACCGTATTTTAAACTTCATGCACAGTTCTGTACGTTTATTCAGCGATAACGGAAAATGCACGGAGAATTTCTTATGATGCAGCTTTCATGTTTAAAGAGATCGATCTGGCTGTCGAAGGAGGAAACGGCGCTGCTCATAAGTTTTGCATCAATATGTTCATGGTCGGGCTTTGAGACGCAAAAACAGTCAAGTCTGGTACATGTTTTAATAAAAGTTTTAAAAGAGTTCTCGAGGCTCATTGGGATTAACCTGTATAAGTAAAGGTTGGATGAAAAAAAAAGTTTCAAAATTATTTTTTTGTGACATCTTTCTGTCGGTAAATATGCATTTAAATACCGGGATCTTATTTTAAGCTCCCATCCGAACACGGAGCGGAGAACAACAGGAGGGGTTCTCTCCCCCACCCCACTTCCATCATGAGAGCTCAGCGAAGAAGTCGTCAGATTTATTTTTAAAGCAGCCAGTCAGTCAAGACTGATATATATTTAAATGAAAATGACAAAAATCTTTGTGTATAGTAAATATGTTTAAATACCAGTATCTCATTTAAGCTTAAAGAAATATATGAAACACAGTGGAGACAACGAACGGGAGGGAGGGGCTCTTCCCCCTTCCTCCTCCTCCTCATATGAGGTCTGCTGAGGAGAAAACACATCAAATGTATTTAGAAAGTACATTTCAAAACAACAGTGGTTATCAAAAGTGTTTTAACAATAAAAATCAATGCTACTAATTTAGTTTATATTCATCATATTTTACTGGTACTATTTGACTTCCGGTCACATGACCTCGAGAAGACTTCTGGGTAATATTTACCGGTAAAAAATTTTTTAAAATAATTTTGTTTATGTATCTAAAAAAGTTAAATCTGGTCCTCTGGACATTCAAAAAAAACAAACAAAAACAATGCAAAACAACAAAAAATGTAGAAACGTTTCGTCTCTCGTCCGAGAGACTTCTTCAGTCTGAGGTGCTGTATTCAGCTCAGTCTCTTAAATAGCACCTTCTCAGAGTGGATCAACCAGTTTTGCTGCTGACAACCAAAACCAGCTGATCACATGCTCAAGAAGGACCATCAGCCTAACAATGGATCATTAGCACACTGATGGCTGTTTACTATTCACAGAGGGCTGAGTGATACTAGCAATCACAGCATTGTAAGAGGGGGACAATTGAACCCGGAGGCCTCCACCCCTGTTTAATGATGGACGATTTCTTTTCACAAAGATGGCCTCCTTTACTCCTCTCTCAAACCATCGTTCCTCTCTATCCAGGATGTGAACATCTTCATCTTTGAAAGAGTGACCGCTGGCCTGGAGATGAGTGTAGACCACAGAGTCCTGGCCTGATGATGTTGATCTTCTGTGCTGGGCCATCCTTTTGGCCAGTGGCTGTTTAGTTTCCCCAATGTAAGACTGATCACCCTCCTGACACTGAACAGCATACACAACATTGCTCTGTTTGTGCCGGGGGACTGGATCTTTGGGATGAACCAGTCTTTGCCGTAATGTATTTTGGGGTTTAAAAGCCACTGGGACGTTATGTTTAGAAAATAAACGTCTCAGTTTCTCTGATACTCCCTCAACATATGGAATGACCACTGGTCTGGGTCTGGGTTCCTCCTTTTCACCTGTTGGCTGACTGGACTCCTGTTTGGGTTTCTTCTTTCAGGAAGGCCCAGTTAGGATATCCACATTGCTCTAGAGCCTGTTTTGTGTGGGATTTCTCCTTCTGCCTGGCTCCTGAGTTAGTGGGGATGCTGTCTGCTCTGTGATACAGAGTCCTGATGACTCCTAACTTGTGCTCCAAAGGGTGATGGGAGTCAAACTGCAAATACTGGTCTGTGTGGGTGGGTTTGCGGTACACCTCAGTTTGCAAATGTCCTCTATCAGAGACTGAGACCTCACAGTCCAAGAAAGCCAACTTGCCATTTTTTACATCTTCTCGTGTGAACTTGATGTATTTATCCACAGAGTTGATGTGGTCAGTAAAATGTTGGACTTCCTGAGATTTAATTTTAACCCAGGTGTCGTCAACATACCTGAACCAATGACTTGGTGGTGTCCCTGAAAAGGACGTCAAGGCTCTCTTTTCTACCTCCTCCATGTACAGGTTGGCAACAATAGGAGAAACTGGAGACCCCATAGCACACCCATGTTTCTGCCTATAATATTGCTCCCCATATGTGAAGTAGGTTGACTGCAGGCACAGTTTCAAGAGTTGACACAGTTGTTCTGTGGAAAGCGTGGTCCTGCTGCTCAGAGTGGTGTCTGATTTTAATCTTAAACTGACCACCTCTACTGCATAATCAACAGGAATGCACGTAAAGAGAGATGTGACATCAAGAGACCATTGTTTCATCAGTCTCCATGATGACATCCCTCACCTTATCCACAAAGTCCATGGTGTTCTGTATGTGGTGTTCAGAGCTGCCAACAACTGACTACTGTCAGCAGCAAAACTGGTTGATCCACTCTGAGAAGGTGCTATTTAAGAGACTGAGCTGAAAACAGCACCTCAGACTGAAGAAGTCTCTCGGACGAGAGACGAAACGTTTCTACATTTTTTGTTGTTTTGCATTGTTTTGTTTTTTTTTTTTGAATGTCCAGAGGACCAGATTTAACTTTTTTAGATTTTTCTACCTGGATTATTGAGCATGCATCAGGATATTTTGTTTATGTAGGTGTTTGGCACTGTTCTGTCTAGTGATTATACTTAGATAGTTCTTTGTTCGTTCTGTAGGTTTAATGGTTTTAAGCACGAGTCAGACAGTGAAGCATCATGAAGACTTCTGACGATCATGCCGTCTGAACATGTGTTGAAAGCAAGCTATATTCAGGGTTATTCAACTAAACTGCTCAGGGGGCCACAGTTTCGGAGAGCCAGCAGCTCAAGGGCCAGACATCCAGCAATTAAAGTCATTATGTAAATAAACCAAGTTATACAATGATCTGTTACCCTTTACATTTGTTTATTTTATTGCATTGAATCATAAATGTAAATAAACAGAACCCCCTTTCAAAAAAAATATATTATTATTATTATTATTAATAATAACAATAATAATAAAT